TGAGTGGTAGGAGCCCAAGTATTTGGGCTTTCATCTGCTGCCTCCCATGCACAGTAGCAGGGAGCTGAATTGAAAGAGTGGGATAGCTAGCACTCCGACCAGGCGCTCAGATATGGGATGCGGGTATCCCAAGTGGCAGCTTAACCTGCTGTGCCACAATGCCCACCCTAGGCTGCACTTCCTATGCAGCTGAACAGGATATTTGCCAGCTCTGTACTTTATTTTTTTAAAGCTTTATTTATTTATTTGAAATTCAGAGAGAGAGATCTTTCATCTGCTAGTTCACTCTGCAGATGGCCGCAAGGGCCAGGGTTGGGCCAGACCGTACCCAGGAGCCAAGAGCTTCTTCCAGGTCTTCCATGTGGGTGGCAGGGACCCAAGCATTTGGGCCATCCTCCACTGCCCTTCCAAGCCTTTAGCAGGGAGCTGGATCGGAGTACAGCAGCCAGGACACCAGCTAGCTGGTGCCCATATGGGATGCTGGCGTTGTGGGTGGCCAGCCCCCTGGCTCTGTACTTTATAGGTTTCTGCCCCTTCTTTTATGCACGTCTGATTCTCCTGATACCACTGACCTGCGTCTTGTTGCTCAACAGCAGATGGTGAGACAGAAGTTGCATGTTTCTGAAATAGACTCAGCCAGGCATGACTAGTCCTCGCTTGGGTTTGTAAGCAGCCTTAGTTTCTCTGCACAGTTTCTGCAGCACTGCTAGACTGTCGGTCAATGCTGCCTAGTCTGTGTACATACCCTTGCACCTGATCTCAGTAATTTGTATGTCTCATGCTTGAGAAACCATCCCCAAGAACATAGAGCATTGGAACTTTTTGTCTTTGCACCAGTTCCTGGATGCCCAAAATTTAAAAAGGCATTTCACTAAATAACCTTTTCATTGGCTGATTTTTTAAAAACTTTAAATATTATTACTTAAATACTTAAGTTGTTTGATTAAATTTCCCTACTTTTTGTGAATGCCAAAGAATTTCATAAGGAATTTCATTTTATTCCAGGAAATTCAAGGTCACACTCATAACACTCCACCGGCTAAGTTGTTTATTTCTAAAACACTCCTCTGCCAGGCTATGGAAAAGACATTTCAGAGACCATCACTCCTGCTAAGCTGTGAACTCTCTCCAAGTGCTGGTGTCTTCCTCCAACCTAACCTGTTCTTTTAAAGCCCCTAATAACTGTGTACTCAAAGGTGCTTGAGGCCGGCGCCGCGGCTCACTAGGCTATTCCTCCGCCGGCGACACCGGCACCCTGGGTTCTAGTCCCGGTTCAGGCACCGGATTCTGTCCCGGTTGCTCCTCTTCCAGTCCAACTCTCTGCTGTGGCCCAGGAGGGCAGTGGAGGATGGCCCAAGTGCTTGGCCCTGCACCCCATGGGAGACCAGGAGGAGGCACCTGGCTCCTGGCTTCGGATCGGCGCAGTGCTGGCCATAGCGGCCACTTGGGGGGTGAACCAATGGAAAAAGGAAGACCTTTATCTCTGTCTCTGTCTCTGTCTCTCTCTCACTGTCTAATTCTGCCTGTCAAAAAATAAATAAAAAAAAAAGGTGTTTGAATCCATAGATACATTATTCAAGGTGTAGCAGATATACATAATACCAAATTATACTGGTAATAAACATACTGTTAACGGTTTTGTTATTTTTGGGGTTTGGAGGCTTTTGTACTGACTGGAATGTGATTGTTGTAGTCCTATTGTGGAATTTGAATGCTGCAACTTAGTAGATTCAACCCTAAACCACTGTGGCAGAATGGCCCACAGCCCTGTATGGGAGTCACCAGGCCTGAAGGTGATCTAGTTTCCACTGGTTCTGGTTTTTGTGTCCTTTGACATTCGATTCTCCTCCTGTTGTACGGGGATAAATACGTACCATAGAGTATGGTGGTAAGGGCAAAGAAGTTACGCCTATATAACGCATTAACACAGTACTCAACGTTATACATGTTTGATTCAAACTTCAAATTCATTCTATGTTTAGGAATGCTTTCTGCAGGCCTGTGGGTCTAGAGCTTTAACACAGGGCGGGCCTTGTGACATGCGAGTGCGACAGGGAGCATTGTCATTAACATGAAGGACAATGGCTATTAGCACATCTGTAGGTGCTCTACAGCTAACCAACTGGCTCATGCCTCCCAGCAGTCTCACCGCTTTGCCCAATTTAGAGAAGGGAAAACTGAGATTCGGGGTAAAGTAGCTTGTCCAGGTTCACACGGTTAATGAGCAGTGTTCTCAATACCAGCAAGAGGCTGGCGCCGCGGCTCACTAGGCTAATCCTCCGCCTTGCAGCACCGGCACACCGGGTTCTAGTCCCGGTCGGGGCACCGGATTCTGTCCCGGTTGCTCCTCTTCCAGGCCAGCTCTCTGCTGTGGCCAGGGAGTGCAGTGGAGGATGGCCCAAGTGCTTGGGCCCTGCACCCTATGGGAGACCAGGAGAAGCACCTGGCTCCTACCTTCAGAGCAGCGCACCGGCCGTGGTGGCCATTGGAGGGTGAACCAACAGCAAAGGAAGACCTTTCTCTCTGTCTCTCTCTCTCACTATCCACTCTGCCTGTCAAAAAAAAAAAAAAAAAAAAAACAGCAAGAACCTCAGCCGCCGTCTGTTCTAGGAGCTGGGCTGAGTACTTTCTAAATCCTCGCTCACCCCTGGGAGACTGGATATCTCTTTATAGCTGTGTATTCTCAAAGTATCTACTTAAAAGGGCTTCACTATTTTTCTGCCCTCCCGAGGAGTTAGTATTCCGGTGGAATATTCTGTCCAAATTCGTTGCTTAAATACTGTATGAACTGACTCTACCCACCTCCTTTTCTGCTGTTTGTGTAAATGTTTTGGTATTAAGGTTGAGCATCCCTAATCTGAAAGTCCACAATCTGAAGTGCTCCGAAATCGGAAACTTTCTGTGCACTGATATGATGTCCTAAGTGGAAATTTCCACACCGTGACAGTTTGCTTCATGTAAATTGTATAAAATTACCTTCCAACTATATATGTAACATTAGTGGATTTTGTATTTTTTTTTTTAAGATTTTTTTAATTTATTTGAAAGACAGAGTTACAGAGAGAGGTGGAGCCAGAGAGTGAGAGAGGTTTTCCATCTCCTGGTTCACTCCCTAAAAGGCCACTAATGGACAGAGCTGAGCTGACCCAAAGCCAGGAGCCAGGAGCTTCTTCCAGGTTTCCCACGCAGGTACAGGGGCCCAAGCACTTAGGCTTTCTCAGGCCATAGCAGAGAGCTGGATCTGAAGTGGAGCAGCCAGGACTCGAACTGGTGTCCATCTGGGATGCCAGTTCTGCAGGCTGGGGCTTTAACCCACAGTGCTGGGCCCTGGATTTTGTATTTAGGCCTGGGTGCCCTTCCTCATATATCTCATTACACGTATGCACATATTTCAAAATCTCTTAAAAAAATGGAAAATTGGAAACATTGTTGGTCCTTCCATTTTGGATGAGGGTAGTCAACCTGTATACCCTCTTTTCAATTTTCTTTTTAATTCCATACAAGTTATATATTTTTTTTTACTTTTAGGAATTAACACATTTCTCAAAATTTATCAAGAAAGGGATAACTTGAAACATAATCTTTCAAGAAATGAGGCTTTATCTTCTGCCCACACCTCCCCTGTGTGTCTATGCAAATAGCTGGTCTCCCCCATGGGTAGCTGGAGGATTTTCAGATATGCTGGGGCAGAGCAGGGTGAGGTCTGTGACCAAACAGCTGGAAAAGCAAATAAATAAACATAAATAAATAAAAATAAAAAATGACTTTTGAAATTTACTCAGAGTGGGTGCTTCAGTCAACAGCAGTAAAATGAGTTCTTGGTGGGCTGACAGTGTGGTCCCCCAGGCAGCTTGAACCCAGCCCCCGGGTTTAGGCCCCTGAGAGGCAGGCTGCAGGCTCTCCCCTGGGTGACAGCAGGCCTGCCAGTTCAGCTTCCTTTGTGGTGCTGGTTACTGGTTCTTTCTGTTTGTCTTGTTTCGTTTCATTATTGAGCCTGGTGTCTGCTAGTTTTGGAAGAGTCAGCTTTAAAGGAAACCCAGCTGTTGCCTCTGTGCCTGATAGATGGAGTCCCCGGATGAGGCTCCCCCTCCCGCCATGTTTTTTTTTTTTTTTTTTTTTTTTTTTTGGTCTTTTCTATTACCATGGCTTGGACATTTCACCTGTGGGCGTGGTTTCTCTTTCATTGACATGTTGGGCCAGGGCCTCCAGTTTGCATCCCTTGTCAGTGGCATTGGGGCAGGGGGTGGGGGTGGAGTTCTCAGTTGAATGCTTGCTTTCCTGCCAGTACCTACTTTGTGTTGCACTGCTTTGGTGAAGAATAAACAAATGTTGACTTTTAACAAACAGCTTCTTGGTGAGGACGACGCTCCCAAGATCCAAGCATAGTTTTTTTTGGTTCAATAGAGCACGTTGTGCTACAGAATACTTGTAATACCACAGATAAAGGAACAGGGACTCTGGAAGCAACCCACCGGGATTTGCATCCAGCGTTGCTTCTTACTGGTAGTGTGACCTTGGGTAGATGGCCCAGCCTTCTCTGAGCCCCATTCCTAAAATGAGAAGAATGATAATATTGACTTTCTGCAGTACTTGTGTAGATTAAATGAGGCAGCATGCTAAAAATAGCAGCTCGCACATAGTGCTTAGCAGGGGTTGTTATTTGATCACAATTGCTGTCCTGTTTGCTATTCTGTCTAAACTTAGGGAGGTTTGTAGAGTCGCTGCTTGAATGTAATTCTCTACTGGATGCTGTGAAGACGCAGGTAGGAAATAAAGATGGATAGAGCCTGGGATTCGGAGTGAGGAGGAGTCGTACATGTAATGTGTCTGTAGACAGAACTGTGATTCTTACAACCTATTAAAAGAATTATGTATTTTATAACGTGTTTTTTAAAAATATTAATAGTATTTATTTCCTGGTGTATATAGAAAATGATAAACATTATATAGTGATTGCAGAGCTTTTAATGTTAATTATCTTCCTTTTTATCTTCATTTAGAGCTCTTCAATAATAAATACATTTGATAAGAAGGATGGCTTTAAAAATACTACCAGAGCAAGAGAAAACATTTTTCACCATTGTAGTTTTATTAGGCTGTCTGGTAAGTAAGCTCTTTGTTTCTTTCTGTTAGGATGTGGCAAAATAATTTGTATATGTAGTACCAAAATTAAATCTATTTCTGGTTTCATATTATTTTTTATTTCTTCCAAATTGAATTTTGTCATTTTTCTACTTAACTAATAAGTGAAACAGTCACCGTATTTCTAAGAATTGTTGAAATTCTTTGAATTTATGTGAAATCATAAAAATTTCCATGAGGCTGTCCAAGAGAATTGAAAGGAGTTAAATCTAGAGCTGTAATATTGATTTACACAAGCAAAGTGAGGCTCATTTGTCCCTAGGACAAAGGAGGAGGAAACGGGATCAGCTTGGAGTCATGGATATGGGTCGATGTAAGAAAACTTCCTTTCCGTCACCGTCTGTGAGGGAGGCTGTAGAACTCGTGAGATTGCAGACTCTCTGCTGTGGAAGAGACCCTCCCACTCCTTCATGAAGCAGAGCTCCTCCAAGACTGGTAGTCAGGGGGAGGGAGACCTGGGAGCACATCATTAAATCTTTGGTCCCAAAGAATTTTCTAGTCCCAAATGCCGCCTTTCCCTCTTGCTTGCCAGGGAGGATGAACTAAGGATGAACCAAGGAGGGTGGTAGATTTGTTTGTTACAGATGTCCCTGCTTCAAGGTGGAAGAATTTGTACAGAATGGTTGGCTATTACTATAAGCATCAAGGCCGACTTCCTGGGCAGCTTTGTGCAATAGACACAGTGCAGTAAGCATTAGACGGAACACTGTACCTCAGTGCTTCTAAGGGTTTCACCTGTCACTTAGGGGAAAAAGTTATGGTCAGTAATGACATTCAGGACATTGCTATTTAGGACAAGAGATTGAACAGAATGTCTTCACCAATTCTGACATGCTGGTAACGCCAACATTTTTATGAAACACTATCTCTTAAGAAGCACAGTTATGTGGATGAGAGTATGTAAAATGAACTTGTTATTTTTAGATAAAATAAGAGCAAAAAGGTATATTTTGAAAATGATTTCCAACTTTTGTTTTTGCCAAAGTGTGATTTTCCAGCTGAGTCCTGTGCTGTGAACTGAAGTCTACAGTTAGGTTCCAGGAAGATGGCTCAGTCTGGCATTTGTTAAGGATGCAAGTTCATAGCTCCATAGCAGCACCTAGATTTTGAAGAGTTGGGAAGAGTTTGGCTACCTTTGTCAGCAGCAGCATCGTTATCATCTGGAGATTGTCTCTAAGTGAAGCTAGTTCCGTGAAAAAGCTTGAGAGTGCCCTGTTAAAACAGGTTGAGAAATGTGTAGAAGGAAATTGTGGCTGGCGCCGCAGCTCAATAGGCTAATCCTCCACCTAGCGGCACCGGCACACCAGGTTCTAGTCCCAGTCGGGGCGCTGGATTCTTTCCCGGTTGCCCCTCTTCCAGCCCAGCTCTCTGCTGTGGCCCGGGAGTACAGTGGAGGATGGCCCAAGTGCTTGGGCCCTGCACCCCATGGGAGACCAGGAGAAGCACCTGGCTGCTGCCTTTGGATCAGCGCAGTGTGCCGGCCGCGGCGGCCATTGGAGGGTGAACCAATGGCAAAAGGAAGACCTTTCTCTCTGTCTCTCACTATCCACTCTGCCTGTCTAAAAAAAAAAAAAAAAAAAAAGGAAATTGCAAGTTCTGGAGGCTCTACTGATCTATCTTTTTATTTATTTATTCAATTTATTATACTTGAACGAGTTCGTGTTTTCAAGATCAGAAATTATTTTTTAAAGATTTATTTTGGCCTGCGCCGCAGCTCACTAGGCTAATCCTCCGCCTGCGGCACCGGGACCCCGGGTTCTAGTTCCAGTTGGGTGCCGGATTCTGTCCCAGTTGCTCCTCTTCCAGTCCAGCTCTCTGCTGTGGCCCGGGAAGGCAGTGGAGGATGGCCCAAATGCTTGGGTCCTGCATTCACAGGGGAGACCAGGAGAAGCACCTGGCTCCTGGCTTTGGATCAGCGTAGCTCCGGCCTTGGTGGCCATTTTGGGGGTGAACCAACGGAAGGAAGACCTTTATCTCTCTCACTGTCTAACTTTGCCTGTCAAAAAAAAAAAAGATTTATTTTATTTGAAAGTCAGAGTTACACAGAGAGAATTAAAGGCAGAGAGAGAGAGACAGACAAACAGACAGGTCTTCCATCTGCTGGTTCACTCCCCAATTGACTGCAACAGCCTGAGCTTGGCTGATCTGAAGCCAGGAGCCAAGAGCCTCTTCTTGGTCTCCCACACAGTGCAGGGACCCAAAGCCTTGGGCCATCTTCCACTGCTTTCCCAGGCCATAGCAGAGAGCTGGATCAGAAGTGGAGCAGCCAAGACTTGAACTGGTGCCTATATGGGATGCCTGCACTGCAAGCAGCGGCTTTACCCACTACACCACAGCAACGGCCCCCAGAAATTTTTTTAAAAAGATTTATTTATTTACTAGAGAGGCAGAGTTACAGAGAGAGAGACAGAGACAGAGAGAGGTCTTCCATTTGCTGGTTCACTCCCCAAATGGTCGCAATAGCCAGAGATGTTCCAATTCAAAGCCAGGAGCTTCCTCCAGGTCTCCCACGTGGGTGCAGGGGCCCAAGGACTTGGGCCATCTTCCACTGCTTTCCCAGGCCATTAGCAGGGTTAGCAGGGAGCTGGATCAGAAGAGGAGCAGCCGGGACACGAACCTGCACCCATATGGCATGACCGGCGCTGCAGGCAGAGACTTAGCCTACTATGCCACAGTGCCGGCCCTGGAATTTTTAAGTAGTAAAGAGACTGGGTCTCCGCTGGGCTGTTCTTGGCTACATTCTCTTACCTAGGAAAGAGACTTGCTCCTAAGTCGTTTGCCACCTTGGGTATTCAGTGGAGTTTAAGAGGAAGAGAGCCGCTAATTCTGTGTTTTCTGGAATACAGAAAAGGATTAGGCTTATTGATTTATTCATTCCATGAACTTTATTCAAAAAGTGGCTTTTCTGCTGAAAAAGTGACAGCTGATTGTTTACACTCAGTGATTATGTGACTAATACTGAAGATGTTGTTCCTTTCGTGCAAAAAAAAAAAAAATGTACTTAGCACACTGAAAGGTAACGTTTAGTGAAACGTTTTGTTCCAGCTATGTACAGCGATCTGTGAAACAGGAGACTGTAGACAACAAGAATTCAGGGATCGGTCTGGAAACTGTGTCCTCTGCAAGCCGTGTGGGCCTGGCATGGAGTTATCTAAGGTATTGTTGCATGTTTGTATTTATAAGATACATTCTTTCCAGTTAAATTTCTTGGGGCTAATGATCAGTGAAGCTTTGGCCACCCCGTCAGAGATCTTAGTTCCTTCTGCCACTTTCACCAAATATTATACACAATTCCTTTTTCAATATATTTGATTCATGTGTCTTCCTGAAATAAATGGTGTTGAAAGTCAAAATTTGACAGATGTCATTGTTTTCCCTAATTTAACAGTGATAGTATTTCTTTGAAAGAGTAGAGCTTTTGGCCGGCACCACGGCTCACTAGGCTAATCCTCCGCCTTGCGGCGCCGGCACACTGGGTTCTAGTCCCGGTAGGGGTGCCGGATTCTGTCCCGGTTGCCCCTCTTCCAGGCCAACTCTCTGCTGTGGCCCACGAGTGCAGTGGAGGATGGCCCAGGTACTTGGGCCCTTCACCCCATGGGAGACCAGGATAAGTGCTTGGCTCCTGCCATCAGATCAGCGCGGTGCGCCGGCCGCGGCGGCCATTGGAGGGTGAACCAACGGCAAAGGAAGACCTTTCTCTCTGTCTCTCTCTCTCACTGTCCACTCTGCCTGTCAAAAAAATAAAAAATAAATAAAAAATAAAAAAGAAAGAGTAGAGCTTTTAAGGTTTATTTGCACTATATCAAGAGAATTGATGTTCCACTGAAAATTTAAGAATAAAAGCATTGATAACAAAAAATGGTAATGCTACCACTTACTGGACCTTCCGTCTTTTATTAAATGAATGTTCTTGCTTGTCAAGAACTAGAATCTGACAGCAACTGTAGGTGGTGCAAGACAGTAGTTCTTCTCCAAACCAGGAAAATGCTTGGACATTCCTTTGGCAACACAGGTATTTTTTTCTTTCATCAGTCTCAGCACATTGAGTATATGGTCCTCCCAGCAGCACGTTCTCTATACTCATTGTAACCACTACTTGCTGATAAATGGTGTGTCGTGGCAGGACATCCTTCAGGGTCGTGGACGCTCGCGAGGCCTTTCTTTTGGTGAGCCTGCCCAGAGTTAGACATCCGTTTGCTTTATGTGCTGATCTTTTGAAGAGGCTACTGGTTGTGGAGAATTGATATATGGTTTGGTTCTAAATAAAGAAGCAAAGCCTTCCTGTTAGAAAAGGAATAGGGGTTTTCTTTTGATTGGAAGAGACTTCAAAAGAGAAGTCCTTTCCCCTGCAGACCACCATTCTTGGAAGCTGAGTCTTGTACTCGTGGAGTTTTGATCCATGATCTAAGAAGAGCAGGAAGCAAAGAATGCTGCCTTCACGCATTCCACAAGCAGCCCCTGGCGGATGCCTTTTTTTTCTGGTTGTCCTGTGATGTAAGTGGTGGCTTTCAGGTCCTGGGCTTGGATTGGAGCATTCTGACCTTTCAAGTCTGTGTGGTACCTATGGCATCTCAACGTTATTTTGCAATCTTTTTGGATTGTGTTAACAGGCATTTGCAGATGTAGGTTTTTCTATGTTGAGTAGAAAGGGACTCATTGATAGCTTATCTAAGGTTAGTTATCTAAGGTCAGTTAACAAAGTAGGTAAAAATGCCATTGTCCCTGAGGGGAGCAGATGATGACATTGAGTCCTTTTTCCCATGGTCTGAAAATCTGAATGAAACTTCACAGGTTCTAAGAGATGAGTATGGTATTTATAGGCAGTTGCTTTCTTATTATCATCCTTTGAAACCAGGGAATATAACCCTAAAATAATCTCTGGAAAGTTGTTCCAGAAGGTGAAGGTCTTAGGAGCTCTGGTATATTGTTTTGTTGAACTTGAAAGAATTATTTTCCAGTTTCTGCTTCCACATGGAAGGAGCTTTAGAGTTTCCCTCCCTCCCAGCAACTAGCAAAAAGCTGAAAAAACTAATAAATCTGCAACTCCTTTTTTTGAGTCTTTATTTATTTTATTTGAAAGGCAGACATACACACACACACACACACACACACACACACAGAAGAGAGAGAGACAGAAAGGCATCGCCTATCCACTGTTTCACTCCCCAAATGCCTGCAACAGCTAGGGCCAAGTCAGCACAAAGCGAGGAGCCAGGCACTCAATCCAGGTCTCCCGCATGGGTAACATGAACCCAATGACCTGAGCTATGTTGTTGCCTCCCTGGGTCTGCATTAGCAGGAAAGTAGAATTGGAACCCAGGCAATCTAATATGGGATGCGGGCATCCAAGCAACTTAACTGCTGCACCAAAGTCCTACCCCTCATCAACTCTTAGGTGAGCAGAAGAAGTGAGGTCAAGTGAGGTCAAGAGACAGATAGGTGGGCAGAGAGTTACAGTGTATCCTGGGCTGGAGGCGGGGTTCACAGTGTGGTAGGGTTAATCCTCTGCCTGTGGCACCAGCATCCCATATGGGCACTGGTTTTGCATCCCGGCTGCTCCTCTTCCTATCCAGCTCTCTGCTTATGGCCTAGGAAAACAGTGGAAGGTGGCCCAGGTGCTTGGGCTCCTGTGCCTGCGTGCAAGACCTGGAAGAATCTCCTGGCTCCTGGCTCCTGGCGTCAGATCAGCCTAGCTCTGGCTGATGTGGCCATTTGGGGAGTGAACCAATGGATGGAAAACCTTTCTTTCTGTCTCTGCCTCTCACTGTCTATAACTCTACCTCTCAAATAAATAAATAAAATCAAGCGATCAAGCAAGAAAGAAAGTTAGTTCTCAAGAAGAAGTATCAGGGTGGGAAAACCTGAACTGTGATTGACCGACGTCTGGAGCCTGGGTAGGGAAAGTCTGAGAATTGAGCACTGCAGGGGACCCACACATAGAGTGGCTCCTATGCTATCGGCAGTTGACCTGCAGGAGCTCAACCAGATTCTTAGAGAAATATTAGGGACAAATCCTCTCATTTGTCCAACAGGAAGACAGGGGAAAAGCCCCTTGGAGGTATTTGAAAGCACTCTGTTTTTCTTCACAAGGATGGCCCTCAGGAGAAACCACAGCCCAGTAAACCAGACTTGCATTGCTGGGGCTGTATCAGAGCCTAATCAACACGGGGGGAAGGGAAGTACCAAACTGTAGCCTGCCCTCTCCGTCCTGTCCCACCTAGCGGGAGGGAAAACCTGAGAAACCCTTGTGACATTCACAAGGCAGATGCACAGGCTCACCAACTGAGACCTGATCGTGGGACTGTGGGCTCGTCCCCTACTCCCACCCTACCTTACCTCCATGTCACTACAGATCCCTTTACAGCAGTTCCTTTTACTAAACACATCATACACAACTTTTAACAAAAAATTACCAAGCATACTAAAAGGCAATAAGTACAGTTTGAAAATGCAGAGCAAGCATTGGAACTAAGCATGGCGGAGATGTTGGAATTAGGGAATTTAAAACAACTGTGATTGATGTACTCAGGGCTATTAGAGAAACTATGCAACATGCAAAAATATTTATTAGGCAGTATAAGCAGAGAGATGGAAATCCTTAGAAAGAGTGGAAAAAAAAGGCTGGACATAAGAAGCACTGGAAGAGAAATGGAGAGCTGCTCTGATGGGCTCAGTAGTCTGGACACAGCTGAGGAAAGAAACTCCCAGCTTGGGAATACGTCAATAGCATCCTCCAAAACTAAGAGTCAAAAAGAGCAAAGACCAAACAAATAAGCAAAACCTAGAACAAAATATCCGAAAATTATGGGACAGTTAAAAAGGATATAAACATGCATAATGGGAATATGAGAAGGAGAAGACAGGAACAACAAAAATTTTGAAATAATTACTTAAAATTTCCCCCAAACTGATGTCAGACATCCAACCACAGTTCCTGGAAGCTCAGAGAATGCCAGGAATGATACACACACACACACACACACGCACACACGAGCAAATCGTCAGAAAAGCAAAGCCCGAGGGAAAATACACCCAACCTATGGAGGAGAAGAGAGAAGAATGACATCAACTTTTCCCCAGAAACCATGTGAGCAGGGAGCACGTGGATGAAATATCTAAGATGCGGAGAGAAAAGAAACAGCCTAGAATTCTGTATCCTATGAAAGTATCCCTCAAAAGAGAAGGAGGTGAACAAGATTGGAGTGAACTTCTTGGCAGTGGACCAGCCTTACAGGAAATGTTTTCAAAAAGTTCTTTAGGTAGAAGAAAATAATAAAGGTCAGAAATGAGGATCTACCTAAAAGAAGAGCATCAAAGCAGGAGTAAGTTAAATTAAATTAAAACTTTAATTTTCTTATTCTTTCTTCTAACACATAATAGTTTTTTGTTTTTTCAAAATAATAGGAGCAGTGTATTTGATTATGTGTGCTTATGTGCAGGGGTATTTCAAAAAGTTCATGGAAATGGAATGAAAAGACAAGTTTATTTTAGCTCAAGAAATTTTGAAATTTGTGCGTAGTCTTTAAATTTTTACTTATTAGAGAGAGAAAGAGAACTCCAATCCATGCAAAGACCGGGGCTGGGCTAAGACCAAAGTTGGGATCTGTGAACTCAATCCAGGTCTCTCATGCAGGTGGCAGGAACCCAGTTCCCTTCTTTCTTTTGTTTTAAGGTTTCTGTCTGTCTGTCTTTGAAAAGCAGAGTGCCAAATTTAAAAGAATGAAGTCCTACAATGTATGCTGTCAGATCACAGTGGAATAACACTAGAAATCAATAACAGAAAGATCATTGGAAAATCCTCAAATACTTGGAGATTAAATTTCATACTTAAAATTAACACTTGGATTTAAGAAGAAATCTCAAGAGAAATTTTAAAATATTCTTAGCCAAAAAATGAAAGACAACTTAGCAAAATTGTGGTATTCAGTGAGGCAGTGCCTGCTTAGAGGGAGGTTTATAGTGCTGAATGCATATATTAGAAAAGTAGAAATATCTAAATCATAATCTAAGCTTCCACTTTAGGAAACAAGAAAAATCAGAGCAAATTAAATCCAGAGTGAGCATGAAAAAATAATGATAATAATTATAAATGAAATTGAAAACACTAAATCAGTAGGGAAAATTTTTTGAAAAGCTGATTCTTTGAAAAGATAAAT